GGACAACATATTTGTTTTAATTGTTGCTGAGTGATATGAAATAAACACTGGGTTGATTATTATTAATTGGGCCGTTTTCATGGGTTTTGTACTTAATATTCTGAACATTTGTCTGATTAGTAGGCTACTTGAATTGACTCTTGTTTTGCCCCTCCGTCGTGTCAGAATTTGACTCCATATTATATGTACTACCTACAAAAATTGGCTGATTTTGGAGTCCACCCCCTCCTCATATTCTACATGAGGTCGTGTTCTAAGCGAGTACTTGTTGTATATACTTACCACTGTAACAGGGTGTATTATGACCGATTGCCAGGGAAAACATTACTTGACATGATAAAGGATAATGTGTTTCCTGATCAATGGAGGTGGGGGAAGAGGAGATTTAGTTTTCAAAGCAGGCAGCCCTCAAAGGTACTAAAAGCATTTCAAGCTTGTTGAATGTTGTCACATCTTTCCATGTACCATTATGCCTATCCCCATCACATGGCACTCCTATGTGATGGTATCTTGTTAGCATAATAGGGCAGCAGTTAGTTAAATCTATTTCTGTATGAAGTCCCTTCATTATGTCCATTTATTATCTCGAATGGGACAAAAATCTAAAAAGTTATGAGCAGTTACTGATTAAAATATTTTCAGCTGAGATGTGTGCCTTTTCATTTTCACATGATTTTCATTATTTCTAAAATTGGCACAAGGGCATGTTCAGTAATTTTAGTGTTGAATAAAAATTACAATGAGGTCAGCTGTTTTATGAAGGGATCAATGTTTACTGGATATCCAGTCAGACTTTTTATTGATGAATAATGAATGGCACTGTTTACATTTTTATTTATACTATCCTAATATTGCACCTTTTTACATAGCCGTTACCTCACTATCTTTGATTATTTATATTGTCTTTAGTTATGATTCAGGATTGGGTGTTATTTTGTTTTCAAGGATACTGTCTATTGAGGTTTCCATTTATCTCAGAAACTCATGGAATATATATTTGCATGCAGTTGTCTCTCAGTACATTGTTTTATGTTCATGTTGTATTCCTTGTTCTCTTGTTAGCTTAGCAGTGTTGAATTTGTTGTGTAACGTGTGGTGTCAGATTGTTGTGAATGTTGAAAGCTGTTGTTCACTTTTTGTATTATGCTGTGACAAAAGGAACTGTACTTGAAATATTGCAATTTTGCCAGAACTCCACCAAACCTGAGTGTGGCATACTTTGTTTTGTATGGCTGTTGTTGGTGCGCACGCACAAGCAAGCACACGTTTGTATGTTTATGCTTTTTACATACTGGCTGTTTAGGGAATGTGATGCATGTCATTTGATTATTAAATCTGGGTTGTTTATATAGTATTGTTATATCTTGTGTTACATTGTTTTATGAACTTAAGTGATGACCTGGTCTTTTTTTTCTGCTGCTTCTTCTGTCCTATCAAACATCTGTCGTCCTTATCTCCCCTTCTTCTTTTTTATGTTTGTTACTCTCTTGTAACACCTCTAATCTTCTGGCGCTCATATGACCTCATGCAGTTGGGAGCGCCGAAAAACCTCTACTAAAAACTTTTTTTTTCTCTTCTTTTAGCGTGTGCTAGGTTTGAGGGGTCATCAACTTTAGTCTTTAGGTTCTTGATGGCATAGGGCTTTTGCATTTGTTACATTTATATACAGTCAAGAATGTCTCAGACTCAGATGGCCACCCATTTTTGAGGAAGAAAGTTGTTGTCTTAGGGCGAGAACATAGAGAAATCTTTAACTGAAGCGGCTGAAGATCTTCGCTGACAGGCGCCAGTAGGTGTTCGCTTGCCGCTCCTTTTAAGCTCGCGCTTGCATAAATCTAATCTAGATATATATCTAGTTCTAGAGTGATTCCAAGAATGGGCTCGTCATCCGACGATGAATTTTTTTTCCCCACTCAACTGACACACCTAGATCCAAAAAAAAAAATTACACCACAACACAGCTGGTATTGATGAAGCATGATACGACTACCGTATCTATTTCTGTCTGCTGACATGGAAGGTCGTAGCAGTTGGCCTTCTATAAATTGTCTAAAATTGTTGTGTTGATGAGGGCGTAAAACATCTACCCCATGGGGCGGTGTCTCTGACTCAAGTGTCTTTTTAGGCCATTCCCAAAAGGGGGGAGAGGGGGGATTTCTCGTTCATGCACAGTAGAATTGTAAATGGGCTGATCCGACAATGTCATGCTCATAACTGTGCCTGAACTACAACAGGGAACTGCTGCTTTTTCTTTCCTTATCAGTACTATCGTCATTTTCCTCTACTTCTTTTGTATGTTTGTCACACTCTTGTGACCCGCTATTTCCGGGGTGCCTTGATAGTCGGAGCAGACTTTGTGCTGTTAAAGCTAGAGAGGTGAGTAGAGCAAGTCTGATTCCCTGTACTGTAAGGACTTCTCTGTTGACATCCACCCCTTGGCGCCCAAATGACCTTATGCAGTTGCGAGCGCGGTAAAACCTCTACTAAAACTAAAAACATCTAAAATTATGTACAATGTATCTTATATCCAAAGACTATTGGACTTGGACCAAAAGCAACCGCAACAAGCACAAGTACATAAGCCTACAATACAACACTGCGATCATGATACCCAACACTGTTGTATTTCAGTTTTGGGTAGAAAAAGAAAAAAAAACCCAACACTTTTTATCCCGAAGGAATATTTGATTTAATTTACAAAGACGAAATAATGGCCGATAATGTTTTATAATGTAACATGACACGAAAGAAGCAGTGCGTTGCAGTCTAACGTTTTTCAGGAGGGGTTGGGTTAGAGTGCCTTGGTTAAACCCTCGTACGCCCTGGGGGTAATTTTGTACCCCCAGGTTTGTATTCTTCACATTTTAGATTACTTGATTCTAGACAGACTGCTATGCAAAGTGTACGGATCGGATTAACAAGTAAATTTCCTCTTTGAAAGTGGTGGCACAGAGTTCCCCACGTCGTGTGAATACGATAGTAAAACACGACGTACGTACAGGGTTAAGTGGTGGAACAGAGTTAACCACATCGTATGAATACGATAGTAAAACACGACGTACGGAGAGGGTTAAGTGGTTGCACAGAGTTCCCCACGTCGTATGGATACGATAGTAAAACATGACGTACGTATAGGGTTATGGGGAAATCCCAGTGACCGCCCGTCCAAAATTGTTTTGTACATGTAGGCCTATATTACAAACGGAAAGTTCATTCGAGTTCTGTTCAACGTGTGTTCATTTAAAATGGACGCGCGGAGTGTCCTCAGCACCAATGGATAAACGAGTATTTAAATGTGTAGGCTACACACAGCATGGGCACCGGCACCAAAAGGATAAACTAGCATACATGTATTAATGTGTACTCATTACTTCATCTAGTGATAGTTTAAGGGGGGGGGGGGGGGGGGGGGGGGGGGGGCTACACCCCCCAAAGTCAAAATTCGGCTCAAAATCATGGAATTTGAGTTGTAGGCATTTTTAGCTTCCTCAGCCTCTCCTGCAACTATTCCATCGCATAAGATTAAGAATCCCCCAAAACCGTATTTTTTTCCCATACCGGTCATGCTTGTAACCGCCATTTCCTCATAAAGTCAGTATTTTATTTTTCTTTATCGGCCGTTTTCTCAAAACGCGACTTTTCTCTATTCTTTATTTAATAACTCTACCATTTTTCATCCAATCTTCATGAAATTTTCACAGAATGAAGAGAAGAGGTAATACTAAAAATAAGTCTGTTGAATTTTGATGTATGGAATACATCTTTGTTGGTGGTCTGTGGAGTGTGGATTTTCACGGTTTTTCGCAAACTTGAATGCTACCTCAGGAAAAAAATTCATTAAAAATTTCTAATTCGATTAGAAAAAAAACAACAGACAAATTTTTAGATCTAATGTTTGTGAACACGCATGCAAAAAACCCCAATTAATTTCCATGAGCGATAAGTGCGGTATTCATTACGTAAGACCTGTCAATAAAATCCAATATTATATGGCAGCGTATCCATGGAAACGAAACTTTTTTCTCAAATTTGATTGCGGGTTTTAAGACTCCTTACTATGCTTGTTATATGTGTGAAATTTGGTCAAATTCGGTCCAGTAATAAGCGAGATAGCCTTCAGGTGTAGCCCCTCCCCCCTTAAACAAGATCCCTTGACGTCTGACAGTCGGTGCTGCATAATAATATATTTAATAGAGGACATGAAAATCTCCTTGTACCACCAGCCAGCCCCGTTGTACCGCCAACTTTATGCTCGTCCCAAGGTAGGCGGTATAACGGGGTTTGACTGCACGCGACACCAAAAAGCAGTCCCACGTAATGTAATTTTGTCCGTTGTGAGTCATCTTGATGTTATACCTTGGGGTGTCTCTGACTGTGATTAGCAAAACCTGTGCCATGATGAAATAGGATAGAGTTTATGGTAGTTGTAGGTTGTAGTTCGGAAGTAGACCATATGAAGTACTTCTGGTGATAGGACTTCGAAAATGTACGCTGTGTACTGTTTGTTGAAAGGATGGAAGGACACACACACACACACACACACACACACACACACACACACACACACACACACACACACACACACACACACACACTCACTCACACATACGCAGCACATACACACGCGCGCACACACACACACAATACACTCACACACACGCACACACACAACACACACACACACACACGATGCACACACACACACACACACACAACACATTCACACACACACAATACACTCACACTGACTCACACATACACAAACATAGACAAGAGTAGGGCAGGGCCTATACATGTACACAAGTGATCGCCTGCCCAAGTGCGTCGATCAATTAGTTAAGATTTATGACTGCCAGCCTCCTGTCTGCAGGCCTGTGTAAGGTTGTTTTATTTTGTTTGTTTGTTTGGGCACTCAGTGGAAATGACTGTGTATTACAAGATAAATACAAATTGAATCGAAAGGAAGAGATAGAGGAGTCCAGAAAGCACTACAGAGGGAGCCTCTTCTTAACTTTCCTAATACTTCTTCATTATTATTCCGTTCGTAGAACGGGTACTTTTACTAGTTATTTTATATTATCGCGTACGCTAAAACTGTGACATGTTTTGCCACTCCCAATCACATACACAAACAGGATACTTGTATTGAAAAGCAATCGCTGCGAAGGTGGCGATAGTAATTACATGCATAATTGACTGCCAATACTGCCATAAGCTGATTGATATCACCGGAAGAAAGGCGGGGGCGTTTCACTTAGTTCACATGTACTGCTTAATCCCCCGCTGAGTTGACGAATCCACTTGGTAGCAACTGAAACATCGGTAGAGATAAAAACGTGAGAATGGATTGACGTATAAAAATATTTAGAGTGTATAATATGTTGTTCGCGTTTGTTCTGCTTTGTTTGGGGTTTGTTAGTTTTGTTTTTTTTAAAGGAAAAAACGGGTGGATGAGTGGTTGGAGGGTTCTTTTGGTATATTATTCAAAAAACTGCTTACACTTTATAACACAAACCCCGTATTCTCACGTTCTACAGGTTCCAATTTAAACTTAGGGAGAGATTGGTAAAGCATTGATTTAACTGTTCAACTTCAACACAGTAAGAATGTGCTCAGTTGAGCTAATCCCCAAAATGATAATTTAATATACTAAATCCGAAACCAGTCATGAATCGCCAAAGAGCGGACTCTACCTTAATGAGTCTTACATTCTGAACATAATTTGTCTAAAACATAACGGAATTGAACACGAAAAATCAGGAGAACGTCCCATACAGCATTAGGCTCTTGTCTAAGATTCAAACTATTGACAATAAAATGGTATAGGTTTAACGCCCATAGTGTGCAAGCACATACACACACGCGCGCGCGCGCGCGCGCACACACACACACACACACACACACACACACACACACACACACACACACACACACACACACACACACACAATACACTCACACACACGCAC